CCAGCTGCCCTGGAACTCACTGTGTAAGCCAGGCTGGCTTTGAACTCACAAAGATCTGTCTGCCTCTGCCTCCTGGGGGCTGGGATTAAAGGTGTGCGCCACCACGCCCGGCTGCCCTTTTTTTTTTTTTTTTTTTTTTTTTTCATTTAAGCTGCCTGGTGCCTAATAGTGTGCTTGGCACTAGTTTGCTAGTTAAGTAATTATGTGCAAGTTATCTGCACCAAGCTGCTTGCTCCTACTGGTCATTTCTGTATTTACATAGCTGTTCATGTAAGTGACTAGATATATTGAGATTTATAGTTAATACTGGTTTGGTTATGGGAATTCTCAAATTTCTAAATTACCTCTTTGCAGTTATAAACATTGCATGGGAGTGCTTGTATTTAGTAACTGACTGATAGGTTCTGTTCAATGAATCTTGTGTCCTGTCCACAGGCTCTTGAAATCCTAACCCTGAACTTCAGTTAAACTTCCTAAGTGATGAAATTCTTAATGTGTGGTGAAAGTGCCTTAGTATGTTTATATTGAAGTCAGACTTTTTCCCTTTGAAACTGGACTGTCGCTGGCTCAGTGAGAGCAAGGAAGCTCCTGCCTGTCTGGGAACTGATCATTTGACTTCCTGTGTTGTCTGACCTCTCCAGGCATCCTGGATTTGAACCTGTTAGCCCTTATTTTCATAAGAGCATTGTCAAAGCCTAAACAGAAGGTAGTGAGGAATGAGAGGCACAAGCGGTTTTAAGAGATACTACAAATGTCTTCATCCTTTGCCTTTTTCTGATTGTTTCAAAGGTTTCCCTGTTTAGACTTAGAGCATCTGAAATTTGGTCAAAAAAGGTTGTTCCTTGATGTATATTGGACCTGGGTGACTTGTAGACTCCATTACCCTTTAGAGTGAGCACTTAAGAGGCAGAATCTAAGTCAGGGAAAAGCACTGACAGGTTAAGATTGGTGAGGATGCCTATATAGAAGTTTGCATACTATACTTGTAGGTAAGTGGACAATTACCATGAAAATGGTTCATGTAGTTGGTTGGTTTTGTGTAGACAGTTCTGGAATCAGTTCAGTCCTTTCTTCATAGAAATGTACTCACACTGGCTTGTACATCCCACCACAAAATAAAGCAATACATATGGATGTCCTATTTCTACAAGTCTGAGTTTTTGTTAAGGCAGTCAGAGTTGGGAGAGTGTTCGTATGATTTTAAGCTAATTCGGGCCAATCAAGTTATCACACGTTTTTCTACTAGGAAAAGATGAAGGATCCAGGGGAACATGGTCTTCCTGAGATATATTCAGTTAACTTTGAAAGTGTAAACTATCCCAGATAAATAAAGTAAAATTGTTTAAGCTTCCTTAAGTGTTCTGTACAATCTACCATTCTGATGAGAGTCATAAAGATCAGACATATGCAGATATTACAGGAGAAAAGGGCCAATGTAAATGGGAAATAGACTCCAAACCCATTTCCAGCCATAGATCATTCTTTCTGGCTTTGAAACTAGTGTTTTCTTTTCCCATCCTGGTACCTTTCTCTACTCACTGGGATTATTGGAAGAGATTGGAAACCTTTAAACTGTTTTAAAATGCATCCCCTACTTGCTCAAGCTGTCAGCCTGTCCATTTATAAAGGCTTGCCATATTAATTAGTAATTAGTGTTTGATGATCATCCTTCAAGCTTCCATCCTTATCCTAAATGCTGACATGTTTGTTTCTATACCTCATGGAGAGCAGGGCAGAAATGAGCATCATTTGTAAGACAGATTAATTTTCTCACAGATTAATACACAACTACTCATTTTTCTTCTACCTTATAAAAAGGATATCCACTATCTGTGACCTCCTCTCTTGTAACAGTGTCTTACACTGATTCCTTTTACACAGGAAAGATGCATAGTCAGTTTTGATGAGTGAGTTAGGTTACAGGGTAAATACTTGTAGTTTCAAGTTATTTTCGGAGTATCTCATAAAGGACATTTGTACTTGTTGGTACTCTGTTTCCATGGCTTCAAGGGAAGCACAAAGCCTCATGATTGTTGATCTGGTAAGTTAAATGCAGTGTCTTTTTGGAGGTTTAATTTCTCTTGAGTGATACTTATGTTTAGCATTTTATTTAAAACATTTTCGTGTTTCTGTATCTATGAAGTTTGTCTATATTGTTGCTGTTTCTCTACTGCCTTCTATCATCCAAAAATTCTTAAGTCTCCATGATCTTTGTAATCTAGTTCGATGTTAGCATTGTTTTTGGTATGTTCTGTTTAACAGGATTTTATTGCTTTTGTCTTTTTATGTATCATTTTTTACAATCCCTCCATGTTTTAAATCAATAACTTTCTTATGCAAGGGCACAACCACATTTTTCTCTGCTGTATTGAGTTTGTGTAAACCTGAGTGCATGTGCAGTTTAATCCTGCTATGAATCTCACTTTGTCCCATTAACAGTTTCTGAGAATTGAATTCTCCCCCCTAGTGATCTGAGGGACCACCTCAGACCAGATTTGTCTTTTATTTCATCTCTGCTGTTATTCTGTCAGTCTCGGTGTACCATATTGCTACTGTAATGCTCAAGTTTATAATCAGAGTAAACATATGGGCATCTGCCTTCTCTCTTAGTCAAGCTTTCTAAGACATTAGGTCATGTGTAGTTAGGTACTTCTACAGACTTGACTTGTGGTTTTCCCTAGTATGCACGCTATGCTGTATTTGTACATCTACCACTGGCTTGTAGGAGTAGTAAAGAGCCTATCTGTTCTTATTACCAAGAGGAATTTAGTAAATGAAAGAAAAAAAACTTTTAACTTCTGATTTATTTGGATAAATGAAATGTATCATTTACTTTGCTCACTGTAGTAGTTCAAACACACACACACACACACACACACACACACACACACACACACACACACACACACACCCACCCACTACCACCACCACCACCACCCCCTTGGTCACTATGTTAAGGGAATCAGAGGTGATTTTTCAGCTTTTTGCATTTTTCTGTTTCATTCGATTGCTGCTTCACATTTTTCAAAGATTTCTGCATTGTTGGAAGGCAGAGTTGAAACCATAGTTATGAGGCTTCAAAATGGATTACCTCCCAAGTTAACAGTTTTATTTTGAGGGCTGTTATGCATTTTCTCAGTAGTAAATTCTGTTCCTAGAAGGAACACAACTTAAGTGGAGAATCAGCTCTTAGTCATTTTTAAGTCTTAAACTTTTTGGCTAGTATTAAAATTTTATTAAAGGGTAATCCTTTTATGAAATAAATCTTAGTGTTGGTATTTTTGAAGCATGCCTATACATTGTTAAAACTTATCAACAGCACTAAGTAAGATAGAAGCTTCTTGCTGTGCCAGAAAGTTAAGAGGGCCTCCTAATTTGAATGTTGGAGGCTTCAGTTTGGCAGTTGACCTATAAAAACTACCAATTCTTTATTTTCTTCAGTTTGTAAAACTGTATAAAGCATGTTAAAAATATATTTGTAAATGGAATTTTTAGAATCTGTCAGGATGACCTACAGAGATTTTTGGAGATCAACTTGAAAGGGACACTATTCTGCTTACAGGTTGAGGCAGTACACAGTTAGGACCCTCACATAGTATATTCCTGTTACATATTAGCATGTCACATTCTGTTTTTTTTGTTTTCTTTTATCTTGGTATGTGTCAAAAGTATACTTTTGTACCACACTTCAACATACTTTTTTGTGCTATGGCGGTGATCATTTTAATGTGGAAAGTATGTTTCAATAATTTAACTGTACATGTTGGTCACATAAACTCCAACTTTTTCTTGAATTCTTGCCATCTTGTATTACATATATTATACATACATGTATGTATAAAATATTAGGAAATAAACTTCTAAAGTATGAGCCCCATGAGCTGTGGTCTGAAGTCTGTTGTTTTTAGTCAACTGCAATATCCCAAATATACAGAAATGCCCAGCACCCTGGATGACATTAGGGAGATTCCATGTATGCAGACCCTATTTCCAAATCTGTGGCCTCCCATGTCCCTCTTATCTGTAAAATGTAGATACTACTAGCAGCTAGTTTTCTTCTGAGAGTTGAAGTTCTTGCCACTATAGGCTTGACATATTCTTTTATCTGCCGTTAGTAATAAGCAGTTTTAAACAGTTTTGTGATTGGACTGTAACAATAATTCTTGGCATATGGTGTTAAGAGCAAAAGACAACTTAGTGGAGAGAACCTCAGTCTTTTGCTCTGGCTCATTAGGTTTCAGTCTTGACCTGAGCATGACTAGGAAACCATCCAGACCATCTTTAGGTAGCCTGAAATGTAAGAAATGCCTGGAAACAGGCCCTGTCCCCTTGAAAGATACCTCTGAGCTAAACACTCCAACTGAAGACCTTGTCTTTGACAAGGTTAACTACTGAAGAAATTGATTTATACATTTACCACAGCTTAAGTATAGTCTATAATAATATTCAGACAGTAATACCCTAATCTTCTCATTCATTCTTCACTCACTACTCTCCCGGAAAAGCTTCTGGTTCTGCAGCTTCTAGTTCTGCATAATCCATCTACAGTAAGTGCCCTATATAGGTTAGTACCTGCTAGTGTTTAGATAGGTTTATAACACACAGGTACCTACTGTGTTACAGCTGCCTATAATAATCAGTACAGCAATATGCTGTGTAAAGTTATAATGTAGGAGTTACATGTAACCTAGGTGTGTAGTTACACCCCAGGTATGTGAGCAGTTTGTCACTGTGACATAAGCACAATGACACCACCTGACTAGCATCTCTCAGAATGTCTCTTATTAAGAGATGTGTGAATGTGTGCCTCTCAGTAAGAATCTCAATTCCAACTCCAGTGTCTATTTGAAAGGCATAAAAACATAATTGTCAAACATTTTAGATATTTACCACCTATTATGAGATTATCAGTAAATTCTTTTTAAAATTAGAAAATGCTTTTGAAGGAATAAGCATATGTCAAACACTATTACTTTGTATTGTTCAAATCTTTTCTCTGAATTTTAAGTGACTTTTTTTTTTTTTTAAGAGAAAATTTCACTGTGCAAATCTGACTTCATGGCCTCGCTGGTTGTATTCATTATATGATGCTGTAAGTAACTCATCTAAAACTTGTATAGTCAGAGCCTATGTTACTCTATTTTTAGAACTTAATGTAATTATACTAAAGTAAAGAGAGGCAGAAGTTACTGGAGGATGTTTTGTCTTTTATTCAAAGTTTTAGATTTTGTACTTCTAGTTGCTTAATAACTTGAGAGGGATATCGTGATGCTTATGGTTCCATGAATTTATCTTTTTATTACAAAAAAGATAAATCAGTTTTTCTCCAAACAAGTATATTAATCTCTCTTCACTAATATATTACCTGATGATGCATCTACAAGGGCTTTTGTTGTCACTTTAACATTAGGCACTGCCACATTTTACCAAAATCACTAAGAGACGGACTACTACAGTAACTTAAAGAACCTTGATTTGGGATGGAAAAATAGGTTCAAATCCAGGTTCCCTCACTTCGTAGTGTGGGGGCAAGTGAATATAACAGTAGCTGTTGCACTTGGCAGACATTAAACAAATGTTACTTGTTTTTCTTAGTCCCAGAAATCTGAAGTGCCACAAAAACTAAACAAATAGTTTTTAAGCACTTATGGCACACAGGACTAAAGGAAAATGGAGTTGATCTCTTGCCTTTCAGCAGCAGCTTTGGAGCCATTACAAAAGCACAGATACACTCTGTGAAGGTGTTTTTAGTAATGCCTGGGAAAAGACAGAAAGCACTTCTCTGTAGTGACTAGTTAACAAGTAAGTAGATGTCAATGTTAGTGCAGTATATGGAGTACAGTCATTTGTACAGAACCATAAAGTCTTGAGAAACCTGAGAGGAGCCTAGCGCAGTGTTCAGAGGCATTTAGGAGCACCTGTCCCTTGAGATAAACAGTCTGAGAGCTAGAAGCCTGGGGTACTGACCTAACCTAGGCAGAGGAGCTAGATTCACCCATTTCCACCTAAAAATCAGACACTGGACTTTGCCTCGTTGGATCTTAGATTTAACAACATATTGCTACCAATGTATTGGTTTTTAAACAGTACACAGTAACTGTTAAAAAGTTTTGAACTTCATTATGGCTTTTATTTTAAACCAGGAAACCTTAATGGATAGAATTAAGAAACAGCTACGTGAATGGGATGAAAATCTGAAAGATGATTCTCTTCCTTCAAATCCAATAGGTATGAAGAGTGACTTTTCTGTACTGCAGTCTGTGATGTTTTGCTCAAAGAAATTAAGAGCCTTTTAGTTGCTAAAAATAGTAACGCTTAGAATTCTGAAAAATCATACAGATTTCCTTTGCTTTGAACATTTTCAAAAGCTTTTTTAAATTGCAACACAGAATTCTCAATATTTCATTAATATTCTAATGTTAGGCAAATTTTCCATCTCAAGTTAAATTATAGTGGTTCTCCTATAAAACAGTTCCTGAGTATAAAGACACTCTTGTTGTTCCAGAGGCTTTACCATTAAACCTAGTTCCAGGACTTGACTTACTTATATGTAATCGCTATTTCTAAGTTAACAGTTTCTTTTAAAAAGTATCTTGGTAAATAAAGTGACTTCTCACATGTACATGTTTAAGGGGCAATGATTGGTATGTTTTATAGATTGGTATGTAAAGTGTATACTAAGGAAGCTCTATAAAGAGGGGCTTAATTATTATCTTACCTGATGCTTAATGATTCGTAAGCTTAAAACCTAAAAATTCTACCTTGTCTTTTAAGATTTTTCTTACAGAGTAGCTGCTTGTCTTCCTATTGATGATGTATTAAGAATTCAGCTCCTTAAAATTGGTAGTGCTATCCAGCGACTTCGCTGTGAACTAGACATCATGAATAAAGTGAGTAAAGAGTATGTCTTTTGTATAGACAGATGGTCAGGCTAGACTGATAGTGTGTCCTGCTAACCCATCATGTAGTAATCCAGCCCCTCATGGAATTGGAGAAGCACTTGCTTACCTGTCATTGTTTTATTTTAAAAATACTTTATAAATTGAAGAGCCCTAATCTGAAATGCTCTGAAATTTTTCTATTTTAAGTTTGAATCATTCCAGATTTGGGAGATTCAGTGTTTAACCCATAAAGTCTTATCTCAATTTTGTTAAGGTATATGCAACCTGAAAATTCTAAGTATTGCAAATTATTTTTTACAGTCTTTAAATATGAATATTTTACCAAATCTTATGAAAATCATGGGATATTTATTTATAATGCATCGTTTTATAAAAAAAAGATACAAATCCCAGAGGGTCACTTTTTGTCTAATATTTCAGTGGTTCAAAGTGTGATATACGTTCCCAGGGTATTAGTGCCTTATTGTGAAATTACAACTGCCTAGTTTTCCTGCTGGTAATGTTCTCTTAAACTTTTTAGTGTACTTCCCTTTGCTGTAAACAATGTCAAGAAACAGAAATAACAACCAAGAATGAAATATTTAGGTAAGAACTTTATTGTTTTTAGTATACCTCTCTCAAAATATTTCCAACTTCCCTATTAGAATTATAATCAAGCTTCTTGTTTACTCCATTGCCTAAACATATTATTCAGTAAACAAAATTCAAGTAATTCAGTTTAGGGTAAGGCTGGGAACACTCACAATGGACAGCTAATGAGTATCATGTAAAATGCCTGCATAATACTTTTTAACCCCAGCTTCTGTTTGAGTATCTTCTTACCTAATTTGAATGCTTCAGGCATTATCTTTTCAGCCAGCTTTGCTATGCCAGCCTCAATACACCATGTACTACTCCTACAGTACAACAGTTTGATAAATCCATCAGAATCATAAATCAAGAAGGTAAACTGCTTTCTGCAAAGTAGTCAACTGGCCAAAGATGAACAAATAACCTTTTTATGCACTGGTCTAGTATTTCCCTCTGGATCATCAAAACATTTAAGCTAAACTGGAATATCTACGAATATCTGCCAACTTCCTGTACTTTAGAACTCAGACTCAAAACCTCAGCTTATACCTCAAAACAGAAAAACCTGGGATTCCCGTTTTTCTTTCCATTGTCTGACCCTCCATATTGATTCTCTGTTGCAGTCTGTCTTTATGTGGTCCCATGGCAGCCTATGTGAATCCTCATGGATATGTACATGAGACACTGACTGTGTACAAAGCTTCCAACTTGAATCTGATAGGCCGGCCTTCTACAGTGCACAGCTGGTTTCCTGGGTAATGTGGTTATGGTTGTTTTGTTGTTGTTGACTTCAGAGTCTTAAGTGAAGTTTCTAGAATTTTGATTAAAAAAATATTGCTTATCCTGTAACTGGTCCTCATTTAACCAACAGGAAGAATGGGATTTTTTTTGTGTATCAGTACATGTGTTAGGGTGAAAATGAAACTGTCCTTAAAAAGCTTATGGCAACTTTCTGTCCAAAAATCTATTTTATCCACCACAACCATTTATATGTGGATTATAATCTATAAGAATATAAAAATCAAAGGTTTCAAACACCTAAGCAAGATAAACTAACAAAATGCAGAAACCATCAAATCCTGCTTTTCTTTCTAGGTTGCTTTATTGTGGGTCTGAGTAAGGATTGGCAATTTTACTTGCTCTCCTGAACAAACCCTCATCATTCTTGAGGACTAAAACTGAGCTTAACATGTTATATGTACTCTACTACACCTGAGAAAAACCAAACTATGTAATTGTAGCAGTTTATTTAACTTAAGAACAGAAAGTCTGTAATTTGTGTTTATTGTTGAATGAGTCTTAAATCTTCCATGACTCAGACAGAAATATCTGTGCAACTGCTAATAGAAAGCAACAAAGTTGAAGCTGGATCAAGTTAAGAATGTGGTCTTTGGCAAGTAGCTTTATGTAAGGAAACCTAAAGTAGTAAAATTATTATAATTTGATATTAAAGCTATATTTAAATCAAATTATGTCTAGTTATATAACAAGGCTTTTGTAAATTTATAAGCATTGCTTCAGGAGATGCCTCACCTACAGTATTTGCTCTAAGAATTTCTCATAAGAGGCTTAGATAAGTAAGCTTAAGGTGCAAAAATCTGTTTCCTTAGCTTGTGTCTTTACTTCATTTTACAGGTATGCCTGGACCATTGCCCAGTGTAAGATCTGTGCAAGCCACATTGGATGGAAATTCACAGCTACCAAAAAGGACATGTCACCTCAAAAATTTTGGGGTTTAACTAGATCTGCTTTGTTACCCACAATTCCAGAAACTGAAGATGACATAAGTCCAGACAAAGTAATACTTTGTTTGTAAATGTGTCTGTAGGGGTAAAGTTATCTAAAAAAGGATGATTCAAATCAGATCTGCCCTGGACTTTACTGCCTCTGATATAGAAGTAAACAGCAACTTTGTGTATGGGTTACAGTATTTGACTATCACATTCAAGAGTACACTCTGAGAGGCATAAAAAAGCAGCATAGTACAGAAGGTTCGCTCAGAAATCTATTTTAGTAGCTTGGTGCCATTATTTATCCAGTGGGGCATATGTCATCTACAGGGTAGAAAGCCCCTTTGAAATGATGGGGGCAGCTATGAGCAGGGGAGTGGAGTGCTATTCTAAACGATGGGAGTTCCCTAAGCGCAAGGCAGTGTATATTATTTCAAAAGGACGTCGTTCCTTTTGACTTTCTTTAGCTTGTCTGAGATACTGACTTGTAAATAATGAAAATATTAAAAAGTAAAATAAGCAGTTTGAGCTGAAAAAAATAGCATCTTGTGTATTTGCACTATTTATTTGAATAGTTAACTATAATTATTCTGTCATGTGTAAGACCCCTTTAAATAGTATAATCTGCATGTTTTGCCATATCAGAAAACTTTACTCGCAAGTATTAGTAAACAACATAGAATTCTGGGATTATACCCTATGAACAATGAAAGGAACTGAAGGGCATCTTTAAGTAAACTCACCAAAACTAATACCTATATACAATCTACATTATTTATTATTTGGTTGTGCACAGGTAATAGGTATAAGAAATAATTGCAAGAGTCCTTTCCTACTTGTCTACCTTGTAATTATGTAAAACAGTGAAAAAAGTCAAAGTAATCAAGTAAAATATTTAAAGTGTGATTCTGAGGCCAAAACCAGAATGTTAAGTTTCACATATAAACTTTATGTAAGTACAGTTAATAAAATGTAACTCAAGAATAGGTTAGTCCTCACTGTCATTTTTTTTAAAGCTCCACTTCTACAGCATTCAAACTGCCAGTACATGAGGTATGGGAGTTGTGCTGTTCACCTCCAGGAGAGTGTGATCTCACAGTCTATACTGTTTACCATTACTTGCAGACAGCAGTGTTTAAAGGAATCTTACACAAAATAGCCAGCTTTGATAGCTAGGTCTGTGTACTTCCTACAGAACTACAGCAGCAGAAATTCTGTCATGCTGAATCCAGATATTGCTGACCTGGCTAAAGTCATTTTTGAGGCTCCCTTTCTTGTAAACAACATAGCTCTGTTAAACTTCCTTTTATCTGGGCTTTTAATGAGATATTATGCTTTGCAAAAATCATTTTATCCCAAAAATTGGTGTTTGCTCACATAGTACAGACATAAGTGGCTATGCAGAAAAGAAAATTACAAAATATCAGAGTATACCATAATAAAAGCCATGTCCTTACTACTTAATACAATATTTACTTTAAGAAACAGGAGTATTACTATTACCTGATGTATCCCAAATAGCCTCAACAACTCTCAAGTTTTACAGTAACATTTAGCTTTGCACACAACAAAATCTGAATAAATCCTCTGTGTAAGTTAGGTAAGGACAGAAACAACATATTCTAAGTAGTCTGTTATTTTAAACACACTTTAAGGTCAACCTTACTGTTTTCCCATGCAAAAGCAATACTTAGCTTAACCAACTATGCTTTTCTTACTAGGTACCATTCTGAAAGAACTAGAAAATTCAGAGCTCTAAACTACATTAAAGAGGTAGGCTTCAACTTAGTGAAATACAATCCCTTGGTAATATCTCTATGCTGGGTTTAAGCTTGCTGTTGTTTCTTAGGATTTATGAAATGGAAAAAGAGCCAATCTTATCAAATTCCCCACTGTTTCACAGAGCCCATTTTAGGCCTTCTTTATGTAACTCAGAAGTTCATCTTTTCCCATTTGGTAACCACTTTTCTTCCACTGTTCCCGCAACTGCTGTAACAGAGCCCCAATTTCCTTTCCTGAAGAAATGCCCACTTTCCTGATGTCGTGTCCACTCACAGGAAAGGGCGGGACAGACCACTGCTGCATCTCCTTGAGAAGACCGTGCTCTCCTTGGTACTTCAACAGTTCGCACACACGGGCAGTCGCGTCCGGTTCCCTAGACTAAGTGCCAGGCAGTTTTATCACACACTGAAACATTTATGACTTTATAATTTAAATACTAAGAAATATACAGAATCGTTAGTTTCTACACTTAAAGATGGCATATTTTCTGACCAACCCTTGTACATACTTACATCTATAATGAAGTCTTGATAGGGTTTCAATGGTTCTGAACTATCTGTTGCCTTAATCAAGTCTTTCCTGTTTTTAACTATAAATAAACCCAGGTTTTTCTCTTCTTTTGAAATCTTCAACCTTAAATCCAGTTTTGTGACATCATCTTGTACTTTGAATAGAGAGGCCAAAAGAGTCATTGGCTTTGGTGAAAAACCTTCAACATTTTTACTAACTTTGTTAAATTCTTCTAAATTTGCATTAGCAGGTAAACCTGTAGGAACAAAAGTAATTTTTCACTAGCAAAAACCTTCATTTCTCAAGCCATGCAGTTTTCAGTGTGCAGAATGGTCTATCTCATGCTCCCTATCAGCCCCATCTGTTGGTCCATCTTCTGTGTCACTCTTGACTCCTAAGGGAAGCATGATGTTCTCATTTCCAGTACGAAGCTGTAGCAGGAGGCCAGCAGCTGTTGTCATGTCAGGTGCACAGCAAATGCTGTACCAGTCAAAGCCAAGCTGCCTCCATTCCCTACTCAATGATTTTGTCTTCTGAAACACAGTCAAGTACTACTTCTTTGAGACTATGCTGGTTGTTATTACTAGCGTCTGTACATTAATTATTATTACAAAAGCATTTTTCTTTTTGAGACAGGGTCAAACTACACAGCCCTGGTTGGCTTCTAACTCCCAGAGCTCCACCTGCTTCTGCCTCTCCAATGCTAGGATTAAAGATATGCACCACCACACCAAGCATAAAAGCACTTTCTATGTATTATATTAATTCACTGCCTCCTCTTAGTCTTGTATTAAGTGTTATTTTCAGCCTCCTTTTTTAATGATAAACTAACAGGAACTATAAGCCCTAATGATAAACTAACCCACACTATAAGCCCAGTAAGTGGCACAGCTTCATCAAATCTACATCTGACTCCAGGGCTCGTTCTGAGCTATTCCTTACCCATAACTACACTTAATCCCAAAGTTTAACTGAGAATTTCATTTTCCCACTTAAAATTCTTCAGCTACATAACACAAAACACTTTTTCTTTATGAAATTTTAAGGTAGGTCTTTTGTTGGTAGAAATGCTAACTTCTCACCAAGATGAGGAGCCACATCAAGGTCATACATCAGGTGGATCAAATGATTTACATGGTCACCAGTAAGAATTTTCTTCAGTTCCACCCAAATCCTTTCTCCTGATACTCCAGCCAAGCCTCTGGCATTTTCAGCAATTGCTTCCAGAGTCTCACAGTCATGGTCACCAGGTTCATTGACAATTCTGCCATAAAACCTACAAGATAAAATCCCTAAAGTGTACAGCTTCTAAACTCTTTCTGTATAGGCTATCTAAACAGTCTTTTAACAAGTAGTAGACTAAAGTTTAGAAAACTAGCATTTATTGACAAAATATTTATGGTCTGCTATGTAGTATTTTGAGTGGTCTCAAATAGTAGAAAATGAATGTTACTAGATTAGGATTTTTAAAGGTTAGAGCTTATATTTTTAAAATCACTGGTAAGGAGCCATATACAACCTACAGAAGTACTTGCAAACAATACATCAGACAAGGTATTTCGATTATGTCATGAATTCTCCATGTACAGGTGGCCAAAAGTATATGAAACAATGTTCAATATTGCTAGTCATCAGGGAAATGCACATCACAGTTGTGATATGACCTCATTCCATTAAGAATGGGTGTTAGCAGAGATAACAAGTGCTGGTGACACCATACAGAAAAAGCCACGTGCACAAGGAAAGTAGAGAGGAATTAAATTAGCACAGGCACTATAGAAAACAGCATGGAGACACTTCAGAAAACTAAGATAAAATATGGCCCATCTATTCTACTGTAGGATATATTATTTGAAAGAAAATCAGAATTATGGGGTGATACTGGCTTTCTCTTGTTCATTGTGGCACACCTAAAACTAAGCAGCCAAGAAATGGAAACAGACAAGACAATGCAGTTCAATGGCCTCAAACTTACTGTGCAGCCCAGCTAACCTTGAACTCAAGATCTTCCTGCCTTAGGCTCTTCAGTGCTAAGATTACAGGCATATGACATACCTCTTGCTGCAAAATCATGTCCTTTCCAACAACATAAACAAAAGCAGAGATCACATTACTGGGCCTGGTAGTCTCTCAGCACTTGGTAGAGACAAGCGGATCCCTGAGTTCAAGGCCAGCCAGGGCTATACAGTGAACTTCTCTCAAAAAAAAAAAAGTGAAAACATCAAACATCATTTTGTTAAAGCAAGTCAGAAGACAAGCATTGGCTAATCTGACTTATGTGTAGACAGGGTGACTTCAAAGGCTCAGAAGGAGAGGCAAAGTTGATTAGTGAATAATATGTTCTAATTAAATACATAAGATGATATTCTCAGGTACTACTGCAGAGTAGGGTGCCTACAGAAAATCAAAAAGCTTAGGAGGAGGTTAAGTGTTTTACCATAAACAAATGAGATCATGGTACCCCATCATAGGCATGGCTTTTGTTTTTTTACATGAGTTAAAAATAAGTCTACTGCCACCTGCAAAACCATCCACGAATTTTAGCATACCAAGTATATCCAACTTGGATTTTTATTTTATTTAGCCATTCATTTAGTAGTAGGTTTTTTTTTTTTTTTTACGGCAGTGTCATTTTGTGGTGAGGTACCAGAAACTTCCCAGAGCATCTCAGATTCTTAAGTCCTGTGAAGACAGGGACTCTCACTCATTCCTTACTGTGATTTAGCAGTGTCTAGCCCATGGTAACACCACAAACCTCAAGAACGATGAAGAAAAAGAATATTAATAAAAAGGAAAAATGGATTTACTGATTTAAAGCTTTCGTATAGAAAAGACTACACAGAATGGTCTAAGTATGCATATTTTCGGACAAAGAATACATCATGAATACAGATGCCTGGGGTTTTGCACACCTACCTATGTGTACTACACAACAGGACTGTGTTCCAGTGGTGACATTAAAAACTACTTTTCTAGTTTTTAAATTTATGAATTCATACCTGAAATATCTTAGAATTCGAAGATAATCTTCTTGGATTCTCTGTTTAGCATTTCCAACAAATCGAACTTTCTTGTTTTTTAAATCTGCATAGCCATTATAGTAATCAAACAAGGTACCATCAAAACCTATTCGTTAGAAAAGAGAAGGAAAAAAAAATCATTAAGAGTTTGATGGGGAAAAAAAAAAAAGGCAAGTAGACCCCTATGAGATCTAGGCCAATCTGGTCTACATAGGTCCAGACCAACTGAGGCTACAGGGGCTGACCCTTTCTCCAAAACAAAAATCTAAAAACTACCACAAACAGTAAAAATTCAACAAAGAGTTATAAAATTAAAATATAGGTACTAACAATATTCACATATACCAATACCAAATAAGAGATTAAAAGAATGCTTTTACAAGTAAAAAGTAAGTACCCTCAAGAATAAACTTAAAAAGCAACGTACCACACATTTATGAAGTGGTAGGAAATGGGGGGGGGGACGACAAGATACATGAAGGCTGATTTTCATATTAATACAGTAATATGAACAGCAACAACCAAATTAAACATAAACAGGAGTACCAGAAGAAAGCACAGGAAAATATTTTATAATCATTTACTTGGAAAGACCTTGCAAAATCTAACCACAAAAGCAAAAATTACAGATGCACACAGGGCTGGAGAGATGGCTCAGTGGTCAAGAGCACCTGAACTGGAGTTTGGATCCCACCACACTTAGCAAGTCAGGCATCCCCAAAGACACCTGTGATGCCAGCTCCTAGCAGTGCAGAGACAAGGATCACCAGATCTTAATGGCTTCCAGCTTACCAGAGAAAATGCAAACACTAGGTTCAGGGAGAGACCCTGCCTCAAAGAAATAGGCAGAGAATGACAGAGGACACCCAACACTGCCCCCTTCTGGCCTGTGTTTACATATATGACAAGATGGTGCTCCTGGGGTTTTCCTAATACTTCCCAGGTAAAATCTCAGTCAAACACAGAGACAGCTAGTTATCCCAGAGAGTTAGAAAAGGAAACATTTAAAAGCAAGAACCAGCCAAATAGGCCAGTCAGTGGTCCCATAGGAACCATCTTTATGTATATGGCAAATTTCAAAGACTCCAGATTAAAAAAAAAAAAAAGGAAGAAAATAAGCAGGCAAAATAAAACTACAAGGTATGTACTTGTCTTACCATTACTTGTTCTATAGAGGATGTGTAACTCTCCTTAGCAAGCATATACAGGACCCTCATTTCCAAAAAGACAGGAAACAAAGTAATCCAGTCATTAATGTCTGTACTAATAACGGTTGAACCAATAAGGCTTGAAAGAAGCCTGAACAGAAAACTGGGCTGATTTAAGGATGGCATCGTGTCAGTATATATTTTGTATTGTCCTAAATTATCTCTTAAAAAAAAAAAAAAAAACATGATTAAAGATGTGAAATAAAGTTAAGAGCATGACTCTGGAGCAAGGCTGCTTCACCTACAGTCCTCATTCTGCAATTTACAAGACATAATTGTAGGCAAGCTACCAGAAGTTCATAAGGTTGTTAAGCACATGAAATTTATATAACACCCATCAAATGGTGCTGGGCACATGCTCAGGCTCAGTAAACATTACAAACATTACCAACAGTAGCTTTTATCATCTAAAATACTACTTGAAAAGGAATGCTAGCTTTTCTCTTTTACTGAAGTATAATGAGAAGAAGCTGTTGGTCAAAAATGCTAAATTAGTTTGAAGAATTAAACATACTCGTACCTTTGATTATATAATTAAGAGAAAACAGGCGCTAATTTGCGAGGTTTGGAAGTCCAGATTCTCACTATTACTATCTGACCTGAACTAAGGCACTGAGCATTCTGCAGTTTCTCTTGTCTCATCTTTACTAAATTTGCTTTCTTAGCCCACAAAGCAATAATCAAACACAGGCAGCTTACAAAAAAGTTAAAATAGAAAAAAATGGTGATTCAAAAATGAACCAAAATACTAAATTAATTCACCTCAATCCCAGAATGTTTCTCATTACTTCCATAACGCAGAAGTTTAAACTGAGATGTTTCATTTCACATATCAACCCTAACTACCGGTGATTCCTAAGATGCAATGCAAACAAAGAATTTGAAGTTGTATACAGAGTCAGTAATAACAAGTACTTATTGAAGTTATTTGCCATTCTGTGACAAGACACCAGAAAAGAGAAATGAGTAGACATGCATGTATGAAAGACAACAGAGGAAAGAGAGTGACACAGTGGGAGGGAGTGTGACTGTGTGCACATGCTTTTTCTTATACTGTTCAGGTACTGTTAACAGAGTAACGGAATGTGTCAGGCAGAGTTCTAAGGATTACAGTTATTCACTCCCTTAATTTTCACTCCAGCTCTACAAAGGAAACTGACATTTGCACTCTAGTTTGCAGCTAGTGACACAGAATCTGAACTCAGGGATTCTGGCAGCAGCCAATATGATACCCTGTCCCCTATGAGACAGTAATGCAACCTAAATTGCAGAACATTTCCAGAGTGCAGGTTTCACATGGAAAGAGGACATTCTGGTAGGCTGAATTAAAATGAATTAAAATTCTATCTCATATATTACCTAGAAACATAGAATTTATTGTGAGATCTCTGCGTTCAGCATCTTTCTGCCAGTCAGTTGTGAATTCTACCTCAGCATGTCTTCCATCAGTCGTGACGTCGATCCGGAGTGTAGTAATTTCAAAATTTTCTTCATGAAGCTGCAATTAAACAGAAGGGGTTTTTATTTGTTTTTTGTTTTTGTTTTTGTTTTTGTTTTTTACTTTTTCATGTATATGTAGTATGTGGATGTGCCCACACACATGTTGAGTTCAGAGGACAACTTGAGCCGTCAGTACTCTCCTTCCAAAATACGGGTTCTGGGTATTGAACTTTCTGGGTATCGAACTCAGAACACATCAGGCCTACTGAGCCACCTCATGGTATTTCCACAAAGTTTTTTTTTTGTTTTTTGTTTTTTTTTTTTTTTCAATAAGGTTTTACAGAGGGATTGAAATTTTGACCTAAGGCACAGTACTATGATCCCTGTTGATTAAATCTTTTTCTTTTTGGGGGGGTTGTTTTTTGAAACAGGATCTCCACGTGGCCCCAGCTAGCCTAGAACTCATTATAGACCAGGCTGGCCTCCATTTCACAAAGATCTGCCACCTGTCTCTGCCTCTGGAGTGCAGGAATTAAAGGGGTGCACCACCATGCCCAGGACATTGTCTTTTTAAAGTCAATTAGTATACACATATAGCCTTGCACAAAAGATACAATATTCAAAGAAATCCAAAGAATCTTTTCTTAAAACAACCCACTAAAAAAGATGAGTTTAACATGCAAATATCCAATTGTGAAAAGCCAAGTAGTAGAGAGGAGGCGCCCTCAACACAGGGTACTCCCAATTTCAAAGAAGGTATTTTCTGAAATACTTTGTAACAACTCCAGTCTGCAAAAAGCCAAATACCAATTTCTAGAATATATGCCACTGAGTAAAGGACTAATGAATAAGTAACAGATCCTACAACTCTTTAACTGGTATTCCCCAATGCAGTTGAAAATACTACATGTATCTTGGGAAGAGAGACTGCCTCCAAGTGCCAAAGTTGAATGCCTTCATAATAAAATGACATGACCTAAGCCTTGAAAAATAAGGAAGATCTGGATGTGCTGATGTGGGGAGAAGCACATTTCAAATGAAAGGATGATCAAAGGCACACTGGAGAAGGAGGAATATATGTAAGTAATCTGACAAATAGCATATTAACAGTAGTCAAGCAGAGATTTTCCTTCCAAGAGTTTGGAATGTCCTCACTATGAAAACTGAATAATCACTTTCAGTCTAGTCTAGGATTCCTTACAATTTCACATAATTCTCCAGACACAAGCTGTATCTATAATCACACTCTAAACTCAGGATCTTGAGATAGAATTATATATGAAAGGGAAAGAAGACTTGGGATAAGAAAACTATTTGAAAATCAAATATACTTTCCCTCTCTATACCAAAACCAGGTTGGGCCATAAATAATCAGAACTTAGTGCACCAGGAACTGTTACCAGTAGGAATGAAGCATCACAATGAGGAAGAGATTAAGTGAAATTCATTATGAGCCCTATCTTTCCCCATTTGATTTTCAAAATATTATACCACCAGGCTTATCCCCTGGCATAATTCTGAGGCACTGTCTCACTTCTCCTAATGAAAACTCCTACTAATACCAACATTGAAACTCTCACACTAATTAGCTCACACACTTCACAAGCAGAATGATAATAAAGGCTTCAAAGCTTTAGAGCATGAGTGTCCAACCTTTTGACATTGTCACCTGCTAATGTGCTGGACTGTATTCATAGCTACACGGTACATGGCTGATGGGCCCTAGTGGGCAAAGCCTGGTTTAGAACAAATCCAAATATAATGATAGCTAGTCATTAAACTTGCATTCAAGGAAAACCAGAAAGACAGGAAGCCGAAACAAACACCTTGTCAAAACAATCACAATTGAAAAACCTATGGGAAATACAAATTTTTGCATCTGAAACAAGAATCAAACACTATAAAAATAGATAAGAGTCCTGCAGGGTGTGGTGGCACATACCTTTAATCCCAACACTCCACATTCAGGAGGCAGAGGCAGGTGGATCTCTGTGAGACTGAGGCAAGCCTGTTCTGCATAGCAAATTCCAGGTCAGACCGGGGTTACAGGGAGACCCCGTCTCCAAGAAAAAAAAAGTTCTGTGCCACATAAGGACAACCTTGGTTAACCTTGGTCCTTGGTTGTCAACTTTTAGATCTAGAATTAACTGCAGTGAGAGACTTTCTTGATTGGATTATATGAAGCTGGAATTCCCATCGTAAATACAGGTGTTACCTTCTGATGGCAGCCCATGTAAGGGGTCATGGCAGAAGGGAGCGTTTGTGTTTTTTGCCTGCTTGCCTTCTTTCTCACTGATGAGTTCATCTTGTTGCTGTGGCATTCCTTTGCTGATAGGAGAACCTACTTCTTCAGATTCCAATGCAGAATAAAGACAAGCAGACCTCCAGGAATCCTTCAGGCCTTCAGTGCCAGATTGGGACTGCTGAAACATCCAGCCTTGTAAGAACTACAGGATTCTCAGCCTCTCCAGTGTGGCGCAACCACTGTTGAACTACTCGGACTCTATCCTGTAAGCTAATCTAACAAATCCATATTCACGTGTGTATATGTGTGTGACTATATATATATTCATTTTATCGGGTCTGTTTCTTTAGAGAACCCTAATACATTTCAGTTAACAAGACATTAGTGTATATTAAAAAAAATACCGGAGGGTTTGTGGTAAAAATGTAATATATGCAATGTATAGTGCATACTTAGTAATAATAATTAACAACTATGTTACTAGTTTTACCAAGCTACATTTTTATGGGTATTTCAATGCATGCATACACACAATGTTAACTATAAACCAGCCTCAGGCAGGCCATTCTGGACATATTCCATAAGACAGTGAAGTTTCCAAGGGAGGTAACAGCTCCATCGGCTCTATGAATACTTTCCAGGGGGCCAAAGTGGTAGACTACCATGATAATGATGACCCTGACACTGTCATGAACTAGGTTTATATGTCTTACCTGTGATCAAGTTTTTAAAAACAAGAATGCAGAACAGAATATAAATTTCTAACTTCTTTTTTTTTTAAGACAGGGTCCCCCTGCCTCTGCCTCTGAGGTGCTGGGAAAAGGTTTAACCACACCTGGCTAGGATATAAACTATTTTAACAGCTATATGTTTCAAACGTTATTACAAAAAGGGTTTTAAATTTTCTTTTTACTTTGAACAAAATTGCCTAGCAATAAAATTTCTCTTAACATATCTGCTGTTAAATGACAGGTCACTATATACTAAACGACCTCTTAAAAAATGTGATTTCAAGCTACAAAAGTTGCAGAAACAGCACAACTGCTGAGAGATCACAATGAATATGCTCTTAGGGAAACTGAAACAAAAGATGAATACAGAAAAAAGACCAAAGATAAAACTAAAAAATTCAACATCCAAATAACCTGGGTTTTCAAAACAGGAGACACTGAACAAATAGAATGAAATTATAGAAGAAACACAAAGGGTCCATTTAACAACACTATACAATAAATGAAAACATAATTCAAGTCAAAACATGTCACCATCAAGCTATGAAGACCACAGACAGACACATCAGAAGGGCTTCTCAGGGACTCACTGAAGCCAGAAACCAAAGCCCTTTAATCTCCTACTGAGTATTCTCAGTCTAGGATTCAATCCAACCAGTGTGGACGTAAACTAAAAATACGTATACATCTAAGTCTTCCTTATATTTTGGACTCCTACCACAACTGCACAAAGCAAGAAAGCAGAGCACATCACCTAGGAAACAGAAGGTACAACAGAGGAAAGGCCAAGGACAGGCCTAAAAGTCTGAGTTAGAGCAGGAAGATGGAAAAGGGAAAAGGAGAGAACAAAAGAACAGGCCCATGATCTCTTTAAATCTCTTAAGAATCTTACAGTCTGGCAAAGAGTACAGGACTGAACGTGACAAGCAAAATGCTGCTACCTGAAAGTGAAAAAGTAACATAAAAGTGCACTCCCAGAATGCAGCTGTAAGTAACAGTCATAAATATAAACTCTGAATACTGATCTAAGCAAAAATTATGATATAAATATCCTGGGAAGATGGAGAACAGGGAATTATATGGGCTTACTGTGGAGGAGGCATGGCAAGAAAGCTAAATCATCTTCCCAGGCAGAAATGAATAGCATCTTAACAGCTGCAAATTAAAAACAGAGGCTAGACCATATAAGGGCTTTTTTTTTTTTCATCCTCCAGAAGTTTTAAGGGAAAAGAAGTAACATCAAACTTAGTAGTAGTTGCAAAAGAGGATAAAGAGTCAAGAGGAAGGTAGGTGGCACTGAGATTTTTATTTACATTTTTTGTTAGTTGATTTTCAATTAGATAAACATATTAAACTCTAACAGCAGGGCCAGTAGATACCCAGCTTTCACTCACCCTGGCAGTAATTGTTCCATGCTTCTCTCCTTTGTTGTTTATCATGCGAACGCCTGCTGCCTGGAACATCTCCTTCATCTGAGTGGGGGTGGCAGTGGTGGCAAAATCCACATCTTGAGGCTTTACCCCATTTAGTAAGTCCCTCACTGCTCCACCTGCTATTCTTAATTCATGATTCTCCTTGACAAATAATTCTAAGAGGAAGGAAGACTTGATTAATATAATGTGGTAAGATTAAGAATCATAGCTGGAACCCTTGAAAAAATGAGCCATCCAAGCCCTTTGAAAGTAAAGACCCAAAAGTCAGATATGGAGCTACTTCATTTGGTGTTTGTCCTGCTGGTTTTCAGTCTTTTGGTCCATTGTTTCCTCACCATGCCTAGTCCTTCCTTTTGAATTGAGAATGTGTATTCGGTTTCACTGTTATGTTGGAAGTATGTAACTTGTCTTTTGATACTATAGGGGCTTACAATTAAGAGACTGTGAATCTCAGAAGAGTCTAGATTTGTGAAAACTATTGAGACTCATAAAGATTGTGGGGACTTTTTAGGTGGACTAAATGCATTTTGCATTTTATATGGTCATGAGCCTATGGGGGCCAGGAAATGGAATCTGGTGGTTTTGAATAAGAATGTCCCCTATAGGCTCCAAGTATTTGGACATTTTGTCCCCAGTTGGTGGTGCTGTTTTGGGAGGTTTGAAGAGATGTGCCCTTGCTGGAGGAAGCATGTCACAGAGGGAGGCTTTGAGAGTTAAGCTTTACCAGATTTTCAGTCACTCCCTGCTTCCTGTACCTGCCTGAAGATGTGAGCACTTAGCTTTCTGCTCCAGGCCACCTCCTGTTACAGTGTCTTCCCCACCATGACGGACTCCCTCTGGAACCTTGAGCTGAAAACTCAAATAAACTCTTCCTTCTTGAAGTTTCCCTGGTCATGGTGTTTTATCACAGCAGCAGGACAGTAATACAGGGATCACTGGTATTCAGCAGAGCACATCCCTAATCAGAACTCAAAATGCAATCTTCAACTTTTGCTTTCAACCCACCCTCTTCTTCCACCTATTCTTCAAAAACCTTTCAGCCCCACTTCATAGATTCCTAAAATGGCTTGCCTGAACGATCTTGCCTTAACTCAGTGTGGGCTCCCCCACACAAGATACAACTTCCATAGGCCTCTCCAAGAAGGGTTCATATTCCCTTAATTCCACATTTTTAATCAAGTCTCACTAACCATAAACCACTATTCAGGGTCTTTAATGTGGAGTCCAAGGTCTCTTAAAATGCAAAATTCATGTCCATAACTTTCTTAAGACTGATGGGGAGGGGCCATGTCCCAAACAGTTGAAGAGCCATCCAAACAGGGTTCTATTTCTACTTATACTTAGTCCAACTCTCTAAACTCTGACTAGGCTGACAGAGGAGTCTCATAAGTGTGTCTTCATTTATCTCCATGCCCCATTCCACACTACCACAACCTTAAATCTAACCTCCATAGCCCAGACCTAGGAATCTAAAGCACCAGAGTAATTATACCATGTAATTCCTTAATATAATTTCCCATATCCAACTTCTGTCTCCTCTCTCTAATCTTTGCCTCATATTTTACCTACACCAAACCACCAAACCTTTCCTGTAGTTTTCTTCCAACTTTGCTTGCATGGGTCACCTCACTCAAACACCTTCCCAACTTATGCATGCAGCTCACTGGCCACTGCTCACACTTCTTGCCCCATAACAGCAAATAATAAAGATACTGCATACACAGAGCATGTGAGTCAGACTTTTATCTATACAGCAAACAAAAGCACCATAAAATAAAGTTATGGCCTATTAATGGATCTACCCAGATTGAAAAAAGGAATCAAGGTCAACCTTTCTCACCTGTGTGATCCAGTTTAGGAAGCCTGCTCCTAAGTTCTAGCTCCTCCTAATTATGCTAAAATTGTTTATTTCTTTGTCTCCTGCTAATAATGGAACTGAATTGTGATATTCTAGCTAAAGAGTGATCTCATTGGAAAGCAGCTTCAAATAAGTCACCAAGATTCTGTTTTGAAATACAAAGGGGGAAGGGTCTGTAGAGCTAGCTAATGTTTTAAAAAGTCTCACCAGGGAGCTGGAGAGACAGCTCAGCAATTAAGAGCACTGGCTGCTCTTGTAGAGGACCCAGGTTTGATTCCCAGCACCCACATGGTGGCAAACAACCATCTGTAACCCTAGTTTCAGGAAATCCAACACCCTCTTCTGACACCCTCAGGCACTGCAGGACATGGGTGCACCTACGTGCATGCAGGCAATACATTCACACACATTTTTCTTTAAAGACACTTTTTAAAGTTTCACCACAGCTTCACTTCAATAAAATTATAAATTCAAAGTCACTCCATAAGTTATTTTTATTTCAGAAAAAAGATATAGAACCCACAGTAATTTCTTCTTTATGCTGCTTAACTCAATATTAATAATTTCCTAAAGCTCACAACTCAAGGTTTTTGAAGTCGTATTTTGTTACAATTGAGGAAAAATATAAAGGCTTATTTGTGTGTAATAGTACTTGCAAACTCTACAAGACATGATCTTATTTTAACCTCAAACAGTAGGAACCAAGTTTAAAAGTTCCTTTATTCCTCAATTACTGGTATCTTCAGAAACAGGGATGCCTTCAATATTCTAAGACTGTGTTGGCTGCACACAAATTCAGTGAAAATTGCAGCTAATGCAACTAAATGTAATTACAAATTTCAGCCTAAGGCTCTGGAAATGCAAAATCTCATCATTTTAGAATTCTTTTGATTTGCTTCAACTGCCACATCTGAGAGTAACCTTGGCTAATTATTCTTGTTAGCAGTTCAAGAGACCACACAACGTGTCAGAAAACTTCTATAACTGCTGCTTACATTTTTAATTTTAGGTCTCATGAACTACTTTTTTTTAGATTTTGAATATTGAAGTCTTCAGTGAGGTTGGAGTGCTGAACAAAAGGGACACGTGGGAAGCCATTACACCACAGGACCACAACTACCAAGGTAGATTATCTGCCCCCAGGGGAGCCAAACTTCAAGAGTGATCAATTCGTTCTAGGTTCCAAATGCTAATATGAGCACATACCATGGAGCCCTATCCAGCATAACTACGATCCACTGCAAAGTGACCATAGAAGTCCTGGCTGATACTTAACTAAAGACTTGGGCAAAAGTCACCTACACTCAGCCCTTCAATTTCAAACCTAGAAGGTTGAAATAATCATCTCTATTACTAGAATTACATGGTACTGAAACAAAAGAAATAACTTGACAAAGGATAAAATCATATATCCTATGATCATAATTCCCAAATTCTTGCACTTTAAAACTATTTTTTCAATGGCAAAGCAGCTTTTGATGATTTTAGAGCTGTTACAACTGAATTTTAATTTAAAGTGCATGCATCACCATGCTGGAGCCACAAAGGCTCAGTGAGCTTCTCTGAGTTTTGTTTTTGCACAGGTTGTGGCATTTTCCCAGGGCACGCAACTCTTTATAAGGTAACGAAAAATTAAGATTTAAAAAAAAAAAAAACCTGAAAGCCAGACATAGTGGCACATGTCTTTGATTCCAGCACTGGGAGGCAAAGGCAAGCAAATCTCTGTGAGATCAAGGCCAGCCTGGTCTACATAAAGAGTTCCAGACCAGCTGGGGCTGGGTTTCCCAGGTGGGAGACCCTATCTCAAAAAGCAAGCAAAATCCCACTTACTTGATTTTCTAATTGCTGAGCATTGCATTAAGAGATCATTCTTGGGACTGGAGAGATGGCTCAGTGGTTAAGAGTACTGACTACTCTTGCAGAGAACTCAGGATTGACTTCCAGCACCCACATGACAGCTACAAGTGTCCTTAACTCCAGTTCCAGGTGAATCCAACACCCTCTTCTGACCTCCGTGGCACTGCAGGACACGGGTACACTCACATACATGCAGGCAATACACTCATACACATAAAATAATAAAATATATTTAAAATTTAAAAAAAAAAGAGTCCATTCTTGGCACCTATGTTTTAAAAGGACCTTGGCTCAGCAGGTAAAAGCAGTTGCCACCAAACCAGATGACCTGAGTTCAGTTCCTGGAGCACACAGTGAAAGGAGAGAATCCAGGAAGTAGTCCTGACTTCTACACAGAGCATGCACTCATATGGGAATAATATTTTTTTTTTTAAAAAGGCACCTCAAGTGCATTCAAGTCATTTAGATCATTTTCACACACACATAGAATTCAACATATTCCTGGATGCATTCCAGACATACTCAACAGGCTATAAACACAGCTGTGGGCTGCTTCAGCATCAGTAGCTGACACTAAAGCCCAATACTGATAAAACTGTACCAACAAGTAGAAGCTGCTTAATCAGGCAACTGCCTGCGTTCCTCCAAGTTTTACATGTACACAAAGGAGGGAAGTCCTTTAGTTCTCTCACAAAGCAATTATACAAAGAAAGCAAAGCTTCACTGTTGAGCATCTGGGCTAACATCAGACCCTGCAATTCCTCCAGCTCCTTCACTTATCAGGGAAACACAGGCAAGGCACTTCACTAACCTAAGCATGTGTTTCCTTCCCCCATGTTAGAGAAAGTGCATCTAGTGTTACTGGAGCTCATCCCATAACACATGGTAGAACAGTGCTTCACCCCACACAGCCATGCTTCATACTGCAGTCAACTTGCCACTTCCAGTGACTGGGTTTAGAGCCTGAATTATAAACTACATAAATAGGCCTTTCTTTCATTAGTTCAACAAAAATATCTCAGTGTTGCTTAGAGATGTTTGCCCTGTACTCTATAGCTGTACAATTCTAAACCACAAAAGGCACACAATCTCTCACCCGTCAGGCTCTTCAATCCTTCTGTGAAAAGTGACTGGAATTCTGGAGACTGCAACTTCATTGTAAACAGGTGTCGCTTCAGAAGACGCAATCTACTCCAACTGCAGCTCAGCACCGGCCTGGGAAGAGGATACAGGTGCCTCAGCATCTGGAGACTGTCACTAACCACACACATCTACAAGGCAAGTACACAAGAATGGCAATTAAACTTCAAAATGAGCGCAAATAAATGCTTTATTATTGCTCAACTGACAAATTCATCGTCTCTCCGGATGCAAAGTTGGAAGTGAGCCCCTGAAGGACCACTAAGCCCATGATTTGGCAGCTACCCGGTTCTGTTCCTGACCTTTGCACTACATCCGACGAACATTTAACCGCTGTTAACACTGTCCTGAGACGCGGGCTTCAGGAAAAGCAGGACCGGATTAGGGGCCCAGAAAGTTGCACGAACAACTGGTCTCCTCCAGCACATGCCAGTTACAAATGAACATCACTCTAGCTCCCACGGTCACCTGAAATGGGCTCGTAAGGGGAAGAATTCATTTCCCCATGACTTTTATCCACTGCTTCCCATCGTGTCCTCCACATGTGGTGGACCTCGGAGGCAACAGCGCTTAAAGAACCCCAACATAAGTTGCAATAAATCCTCACGCCGCCCACGGAGCTCGTTCACGCAGGCCACGTCGGGAGGAAACCGAAGCTTTCCTTCCCAATACCACTCAGACACCACGTCTGGGAACCCGAGACCTGTCGGCCGCCCACACTGGGAGAAAAGGCTCAGGGGGACCCTCGGAGCCGGGGTCGACAAGCCAGGGTCAACGGACCGCATCGGACGCGGCCCGGGCAGCCACGCCACCTCCACCTTCCGCCCGGGCGCCTCCGCCCGGTCCCGTCTCCCGCTCGCATTTTCCCGCGAGGCGCTCGGACTTGCGCGGGGACTGCCAGGCCTCCACCGTCCCTTAGGAGAGCGTCCTCCCGCCGCGAGGAACCGCTTACCCACCTGCCGCCTCCGCGTCACGCACACTTCCGGGACGCAGTGAGATGACGCCACGACGCACGGAGGTCCGCAGCAAATGGGATGCGGCGACAGAGGCAGAGGGTGTGTCTTGAGGTGTGGACCTGGCTAGGGGCCGGGCTTGTGCCATGACGCCGTCACAGTGAGGACTATGCCCCTGGGATTTGAAAACATCTGAGAAACTGAGCTGAAAACGCTCAGTCTGCACCTGGGCCGTACTTAATTTCCAACACTGACTTTGCGAAACCATTGCTGCCCTGATCTAGAGGCTTTGTGCAGAAAAAAGGAAAAACCGATTTGATTCAGATCACTTTAGTAACTTTCCTAGAAGTTTCCTTGAAAAACGCATATGCCATGGTATTTCTGTTTCCTGTGAGTCTTCCCACCTGGGAATCGATGGGAATCCTGATTTTTGAAGCACCGATTACCTGACCAAGTGGACCTTCAGAGACAGAGCAGTGATTCAGTCCTGAAGAAGGCAAATCTTGAGGTCCCTCTTGACTTTATCCCCGTTTCCACCTCAACAGACTGGACACTTAGATGCCAACTAATTTGTTAGACAATATTGTCAAATCTATAAAAAAAGAATGACATCACTGACATAAGATGACATGTTTAAGTTGAAATAATTTTATTTTTAAAATAAAAATACTGGTCAACTGTATTTGTTTTGCTCAACAAATTTCCAATAAAAATAATTTCAGGCCTAGATGGTTTCAGAAATCAATGTACCAAACACTAAAATAGCACCTACTTTACACAGTTTTTAACACTTCCTCTCATCTTGGGCCCAGCATAATCCTATTAAGTAAACATGGAATAAACATGACAAACTGAATCTACACATTAGTATTTTGGAAAATTGTTCTTCGAAGAGTTAAGAGATCAAGCATTTACCAGGAGAGAGTGGGAAAACTTGTTTTTTCTTTCTTATGCATGAAGGCTCAAACTTAGCAACAAGGGCTTCAAGATTTTTCTGGGCCCCAAACCAAATACATGGGCCTGTTTTTATATTCAGCCATGTTATCTCAGCAAAATTCCCTCTTGAATTCACTCCATTTACCATAGCTTAGAAAGGTAGATATCCTAGGTGTGGGTCAGGCTATCTACTGCCTTTTAGTCCATAGGCAGTCAAGGTTAAATGGGCTAGAAATTTATCAAAGGGCCATTGCAGTTTACAAAAACAGCTCAGCAGAAGTTTAGATATCTGACAAGGTTAAGCTATACTTTTCTTGGACATTAAACCATTTGAACATTAAACCATTTGGTTGACTTTCCATTCTCTTACTTTCACATCTCCATCAACAGCTGGACATTTTGAGTGGAAAGTATCACAGAGCTCCAAGATATTACAGAGTAATGAAAACATCAGGGCAGTAAAAACACCACAGAGCAATAAAACATCACTGAGTTGTAAGGCAGTCCAAGGTTACATTTCAAGGTATCTACCTAGTAAGTAAAACAAAGGAAACTTCAAAATAGTCTAAGCTCAAGAGAAGATTATATATGAATATAGAAAGCTATAAGAATATAACTTTCCCTTATAAATAACGAGAAGAAACAAAAAATTTCAACAATGGTGTAAGAATGACTCACAATATGGAAATAATCTGGACTAATGACTTTATTTAACTTTGCAACCAAAAAGCTTACTCTTTATAATGTAAACAAACTCACTGAGCCATGTAACCTGGGCATATAACCATAATCCCTTAGGAAACCACTTTGCAGTCCATCCAAGGTAATGAATGAATGTGGGTATGCACCCATCAGAAAACCTTTAGAGCTGGTTAATGCAGCAAAGGGGCCAAATATGGAAAATAAAAGTTAAAATATTTTATTTATCATTTTTATTTTATGTGTATGAATGTATTGCCTGCATGTGTGTAAGTGCACCCATGTCCTGCAATTCCCACAGAGTTCAGAAGATGGTGTCAGATCCCCTGGAATTGGAGTTGTTAGCTACCATGTGGGTGCTGGGAATCGAACCCTGGTCCTCTGCAAGAGCAGCCAGTGCTCTTAGCTGCTGAGCCATCTCTCCAGACCCTGAAAAATTAACATTAAAAAAATTCTGTACCCTTCCTGCACTAATAATAAGCATGCCAGAGAAGAAATTATGGAAATTCCCTTTCAAAATTGCCTCAAAAGATTACTTTGGAATACACCTATCCAAGGAAGGAAATGGTCTATATAATAAGAAATTTGAAACATTTAAGAAAGAAATTGAAGGTGTTACAAGAAGATGGAATGATCTCTCCTGATCTTGGATTGGAAGAATTAATATTGTGAAAATAGTCATTTTACCAAAACCAGTCTACCAATTCAATGCAATTTCTATAAAAATACCAATATCATTCTTCAATTCATTTAGAATCACAAAGACTTGGGAGTAATGCTGAAGGTACACCACACCTTATTTCAAGATATACTACAGAGTCAAAGTAACAAGCACTGCATAATGCTGGCACAGAAACAGACATGTAGATCAATGGAACAGAGTGGAAGACACAGACATAAACACATGCAGCTACAGCTACATGATTTTTGACAAAGGTGCTAAAATTACACAGTAGAGAAAAGGCAAGGTTTCTAACAAATGATGCTGGGAAAACTGGATACCCACACTTAGAGAAGTGAAAAAATCTTTATTTCTCAGTTTGCATAAAAATGTACAATCTGAAACTCTGAAAAAGCTAGAGGATGAAGTAGAAAAAACATTTAAAGAGATAGGCTTAGTTAGGGATTTCCTGAACAGGCCTCCAGTAGCTCAGAAAATAAGACTAAGTACTGCCAACCAGACCTCCTGAAACTAAAATGCTTCTGTGTCCCCATGTGTTGCACTACAAACATACCAAACAAAATGCTCCTACTGGTATAGTACTGGAGCATCTAGTGATGTACAACCAGCAAATTTTTGATTGAATATATAGTGCCCGCTCCTAGGGGTGGAACACATATCTGGTTCTATAGACCCAGTGAGCTCCCTTAGCAGAGGGAAGTTGCTGCAATTGCTTTGTTGGATTGAAATGATGCACCTGCTAATATACCGACCAAGTATTTCTGTTTATACCCATAGGTCAAGTTATTATAGCAGTCATCGTTTAGATGTTCTTGTTTCTTGCTGTGTGTTTGTATAATAGATGGAATCCCACTCAAACTGGCCAACAGCCCATGGAAAACAGATGATGCAGAGACCCAAAAGTTCAATGCTTTGCCACAATGGAAGGAAGATCATCCCACACCTAACACCCCCTCCAAGGCTCAGAGACTTTGGCAGAAGAGGTTGGCAGAAAGAATGTAAGAGATGGTGAAAGGGGTGGAATGTTACCTGGAAATATCCTCCAACCACTATGCTGTTAAGCTTTAGTCACACCTCCTTCCCACACTCACCAAGGAGTCGAGGAGGGAGTCAGTTACCCCTCCCCCACAATCAGTCGATCTTAGCTACATGTGGGGGGAGGAACAAAGGATATATAAGCCAAGAACACCAAGATGCACCTCTCTCACCATTTTGTGTGGCTGTCAGGAGGTCACAGGATCTGTATTTGAGTGTGGACTTTATGGTGCCCACTCTTCTGTAGATAAACCCCTACCCTATGCTCTGTTAAAAAAAATATGAATAAATAAATAAATAATAAAATAATAAAAAGCTTCTGTGTAGCAAAGTCAACAAGGAACCTTCCTATAACCCATGTCTAACACTCCTGAGCATCCACTCAAAGGACTTTATATCCTACTGTAGAGACACTGGCACATCATGGTCATTGCTTCTCTATTCACAATACCTAAGAAATGGAATCCACCTACATGTCCATCAATAGATAAATGAACAATGAAAATGTGGCTCATTATGCAACATAATTTTATTCAGCCCAAATGATAAATGGAATTATTCAATTTGCAGGAAAATGAATAGAAATGGAAAACATTATGTTAAGTTAGATAACCCAGCCTCAGAAAGGCAAGCACCACATGCTCTCTCTTATATGTGGATCTAAGCTTCTAATTTTTTACATGTATGTGTCTATGTGTGAGTGAAGGAGGGCAGATATCAGGAAACTAGGAAGAAAATTACTTTCAGCAGAAAATTACCCTATAATTAAATCCCAGTAAAAGTTATTTTGCATTGAAAACCTAAGAGACCATTATTGATTGGATTAGCATCTGACCAGTTATGAGAAATTTTAAATTCCTGATTAGGCTAGGCTAGGAATTGCTGTTTGAATTCACATTTAGATTCATTTCCCCTTCTAATCAGTAACACTCCTGGAAATATTCTGATATTCTATTTTTGCATATTTCTATACATTTAACTATTTCCATTTACTTTCATTTTTATCTTGATGACTTCCATTTGCATTAGTTATTATGTTAAAAATAGAAATCATAGAAAATTAAAAGGAACTACTAACCACAGCTAGTAAGAAAGTTAGGAAGATCACAGGATACAAGATAAAAATTCTACTTTTATGTTCTAGCAGCAAAAAAATAGAATGAAAATATATATAGTTTATATAAAATATATAGAAATAAGTGAATAAAAGAAACAGTATGGTTGACAAGCAAAGGTGTACAGATATTAAATGCCATCAATTATTAGGGAAATGAAAAATATAATCACACTGAGACACTATTA